GGCTGCCTGTTTTCTTTTCAACCTTGTCCGTCGACTGAACAAAATTGAATGAATGTGGACTCCATTTGGTTTGGAAATTCTGCACGATGTAGATGAAAACACAGACTGGTGTATTTCGCATGAAAATAAGGCAAGAACAAAAAGTCATCCACCGAATTAATGTATGCCTCGGGGAGGATTCGAACCTCCGTCTTCCCACGTACATACTGCATCGAACTTCCATTAGGTATGGATGATCTGCCAATTAATTCACCAAGGCTTATTCTCCATATTTGGGAGGTTGAATAGGTGCAGTGATTTTTATGCAGGTCGCCTACCTCTGTTTCAGCCATCACCATGCGAATTCATGAAATAAAATACCGCGGATTCGCATTTGTTCTCCTAGTTCTACTTAGTCAACTACAGAACCGTACGAATTTGATGCTGAACCATTGCAGAGAAACCTGCACCAGGCGAGGAAAAAAGAGACAGGCTTATTACCACGATTACACGTCATGCCTCGGGAGGGACTCGAACCCTCGCCTTCCTTGATATTCTTACGCCTCCAAAACGGAGAAGGGATGATCAACCAACGATCCACCGAGACCTTTCTGCTTTCATTCGAGTCTAGGTATTGTAGGTGCGAAAGGAGGTTGTAAATAGACCGCCCCGAATAAAACATCTCAGTCGCTGAATTTGAGTTCAAGTGAAGTTTATCTGGGTCGCACGCAGAAAAAAATGTGTATTGTATGGTTATTGCACGGCGAGAAAATAAACCGCGTAATGTGTTGCATGAAAAAAAGTGTTAGCATCCCCGCTTATGCCTCGAGAGGGATTCGAACCCCCAGCTTCCCTCTGTAAAATTTGGCTGGCTCAAGTAACAGGGACGATTCACCATGATCCACCGAGGCTTTCCTGCACTATCTATGCCGCAGATATGTGTGGCGGTCAGTATACGTTAATGCCTCACCATAATTTGAACTTGAAACTTGAACCAAGCCCGGCAACTCCCGGCCTCTCAACCAATCATGACCAATGAAGCGTCTCCTTTTCCGGCTGGTTCTTTCTCCCACCCACTGAGACTGACATCGTGCTCGTTCATCTGGGGCTTGAGGTTTCGACGACGACTACACAGACGATGTCGACGATATCCATCCCGGGCCCTGTGCCACTCGCCTTTCCGCGGCCCGCCTCGCCCACAAAGTCGCCGACCATGTCCCGTTTTCGGGACAATAGCACCAATAACAACAATACCACGAATGTGAATAACTCGCTTACACCCCGGTCGCGCACCAATTCGCTCTTTGACTCCCCTGTTGGAGGTACATACCTACTACTGCGAAAGCTATCACTTCAATTTATTGACTATGCCCATAGGCTCGCCACACCGCAGCACCCCAAGCATCGACGACCTCAAGCCCAACGCACACCCGTACCCCATACGCACAACATCTACCGCCCTCCTCACGCGCTCCAACTCCACCAGCTCGCAGCAGTAGAATGGAGGGCGGCACCACTACGTGCCGCCGCCATCCCCCCACCCTCGTCGCACCGCGATTGTACCAGCAGCAACGCCAGCGCTAGCGGGGACGGGAATGCGAGTGGTGGGGGCAGAACCGGGAAGGCGGGGGGCGAGAGGAGGGATGAGTACCGCAGGCGCCGCTACTCGCGCAATTTAAGTTCGAGCAAGGGGATGGCGTATGGGAGTGTCGCTGCGGAGAGCCTGAGGGCGCTGCCCGGGTTTGGTGCGTTTCCTCTCTATCCTTATATTCCCTGTCCTCTAAACTAATATTGCATATAACGGGACAGACACCACGCCAGACAATAAAGGAATAACCACCGCCCTCTCGCACAAGCGCTGGAGGCCCGCAGGGCTGGCCGCGTACCTCGCGGGCGAGGTTGGTGCGTAGGCGGTCGTTCATTCGTAGGCATCGGCGAGGAGAAGCTGGGAAGGATTGGGTGAGTGGTTCTTCCTCCGTTTCTTTCTTTTATTTCCCCCTCCTTTCATCTATCCTCGCCCTTCGATCCCCCCATTAACCCTTCACCCTGCCTCGTCCTCCCGTTTCCTTGCGTTTCGTTCTTTCCGCTGCCCTTCGGTATCGGTATTTGTCGGGCCTACCTCGCGCGCTCTTGTTTGTCCACACGCGAGTTCCAACGCTGCCCCAGGCGAGTTCGGCGTGCGTCGCGGCGTCTTTAATGCGCTGCCCCCGCGCTCGCTATCGGTAACGCGGGGAGGACGCCCGCACACTCGATAGTCCCCTGTACCCCAGTCGAGCTCCGTGCTGCCCCAGACACCTTCGCCAACATGCGTCCTAAGGCTTGTACATTTATTTGTGGGTTGGACAAATTGAATGAATTTTTGCGCGCAATAATTCCTTTGTTTCCTCTGAAAAATAATGCGGGCAGCCAGCATTGACTGGAGGTAAATTTTATTTTCGACCTCTACGAAGCAACAAAATATGTCGCCCGTCCACTCTGTAAATTTCAGGGTGATCCGCGAGGAAAAAAGATGCACGATGATGATCGTCATGCCTTGGGGAGGACTCGAACCTCCGTCTTTCCATGAGAAACTATCGGGAGAGTCACTGAGTGTCAATTGATCTACCAAGGCTTATTCTCTATATTTCAAGGATAGATAAGCGCATCAATTTCTGTGCAGTGGACTGTCTCCTTCAACCTCGTCACTAACGGTACAGTATGGAGGAAGTATGAGCTTCAGATTCATTTTTTTTTTCTGAGTCCTTGGTCGACTGCACACAAAACGGCTCGCAGCCTGAACGTGTATAGTACAGGCCAGAAGGAAGAAAGCAAAAAAAAAAGACCAGTATCTGTGGCAAATGCCTTGGGGGGATTCGAACCTCCGTCTTCCCAAGTGTAACGCAATATTGTGGGCATGTTACTGAGTGGGGGTGATCTGCTTGATCTACCAAGGCTTAATGTCTGTATTTTTGAGGCTGGATAGGTACGAGAAGTCTCTGAATGCGGCGAGTCCCTTTTCAACCTTCTATGCTACGATTGAATATCGGAGCAAACAAAATTTGAATGAATGTGGACTCCGACTGGTTGGGAAATTCTATATGTGTGAATGTCACTGGATGAACACAAAGACTGGTGTGTCTGAAATGACACAATGAAACAAGGGGAACATGCAAGGCAAGAACGAAAAAGTCACGCTTCATCACTGAAATCCATGCCTCTGGGAGGATTCGACCTCCGTCTTCTGAATAATGCGCTGGGATGATTTGCCAATTGATCCACCAAGGCTTCGATACCCTGATATATTTGTATTCTGTGTGTCTCTTATCCCACTGCTACATACTAACTTGATGGCCTGGGACTTGTGAGTGGATAAGACGGTGGAAGACGGAAATACTAGTCTCTCCTAGACAGACGCTACAACTTGAGGTTCGTCGAATCGTACCTCGAACTACGGCCGAATAAAAAAATGTACACCAGGAATTCGAAGCCTCATCTGCACATTGTCTGCTTGATATTATCTGGCTACTGTGTAGGGATGATCTGCCAATTGACCCGCCAAGGCTTTATTCTCTGTAAGTAGGTGCGAGTTTGGATTTTTGTCTAGCTAAAAATCACGCGGCCAGCATTATATCGAAATGTATTTTCGATCCAGGAACAGTAAGTTTAAGGCGTTTTACAGCATTGCGTCAAGCTTTTGAAATTCGAGGCTCTGGAGCCAGTAATAACCAAAGAGGAAGGATAGAGCCGCAGATGAAAAAAATAACGGAAGTATTGATATTACATAAATGCCTTGGGGAGGATTCGAACCTCCGTCTTCCCGTATATTCGGGGACCACGACTTATAAAGCTGGGATGATCTGCCAATTGATCTATCAAGGCTTATTCTCTATATTTCGAGGCTGGGTGGGTGCAGTGAATTCTGTGCGAGCAGCTTAGGGCTGCCGCCCGTTGCCGTGACGGCAACGGCCGTCGATTCAACGGCTACTCCACGGCAACGGGCCGTCGAACAACGGCCCGTTGCATGGGTGAGAGAGGTCCTCACGGGACGGTACGGTCAACGGCACGGCCGTAACGGGTTGTTGGCGGGCCCACGGGTTGAGAATAGTTTGTTTGAGCCATTTTACGCGCAGAAGTGAGCTTTAATGTACTTCCCAAGTTTTTTTTGTCGCAGCATAATACAAGTGAACACATATACCGACCGTTAAGCCAATGTTAAGCACCGAGAAAGCCTCTCAACTGAATTCAACTGAATGAGTGAGTATCCCCACTTCATCATCACAACCCAAAAGCCCAAATAATGCAAGGAGATATTTAACGGACAGCCATTTGTCTAAGAGAGGGGAGAAAATTTCCGCCGACAGGTAGTTGAAGTTGAGTGAACTTAGTTGGACATTGCCATCACAGTTACGGCAATTGCCGCAATGGTGCAAAGACTTTGTATTGTGAGGACTGGAGGGAAGAGAATATATAAATAATGAAATAGAAACATATTAGAACACCCAGGTGTCCTTCCTGGACCAGAACCACACCTGGAAAAATGTTTCTGATTGCAATAAAAATTACGCCGTTGAACGGCCGTGACGGCCGTTTTCAACGGGCCGTAACACTGCGAACCCGTACCGCGACCGTGGCGTTGAGGTCGAGTAAAAATGGCTGACGGAACGGGCACGGAACCCCGTCGACGGGTGCCGTGGAACCGTCGCAACTGTCACCGGCGGCAGCCCTATGCGAGCTGTAGACCTGAGCAACTCAACCATCAGCTCATAGTCTTTGATTGCTGGAGTACGGAGAAGGGATGATCTACCAACGATCCACTGAGGCGTTCCTGCTCTTATTTGAGGATAGGTCTTGTAAGTGCGAAAGGAGGTTGTAAATAGATCGCCCCGAATAAGATATCAATCAGTCAGTGAGTTTGAGCTCAAGTGAAGTGTATCTGGGTCGCGCGCAGAAAAAGATGTGTATTGTACAGAAAGGTGGTTACTGTACAGCGAGAAAATAACGCCAGGCGTAAGCTATGAAAAAAGACTTTCCGCCGCGCCCTATGCCTCGAGAGGGATTCGAACCCCCATCTTCCCACTGTAGGATCGGCGTTGGATAAAGTAACGGGGACGATCCACCATGATCCACCGAGGCTTTCCTGCGATACCTATGCAACCAGATAAGTGTACCTTTCGAATTCACCTAGAATTAAATTTGAACTTGAACCAAGCCCGGCAACTCCCGAACCAATCAATTAATCATGACCAAATCAAGTGTCTCCTTTTTCGGCTGGTTCTTTCTCCCACCGACTGAGACTGACGTCGTGCTCGTTCATCTGAGGCTTGGCTTTCGACGACGACTACACAGACGATGTCGACGAAGAAGTAATGACCTCACAAAGGGAGAGTCAAAAAGGTGGCCACACCCTTATCTCTCGGTTGAAGTAGTGGTGTAGGACCCACAGTTTGTCCTCCAATCGGCACCCGAAAACCAAGAAACTTCACGACGAACAATCTATTGACAAAGAGAGTATCAAAAGAGAGTCTGGTCGGAAATGGAGACTAATTTAATCCAAATCGATCATTTCATTCCTTCTGCGCTATTCCCTCGCTATTTAGGGCGATGTTCTTCTGTCCTTGTCTACATCTGGGAGGGACCCACAAGTCCACGGCGCCCGAAGAACAAGCGACGTTGCGACGAACACAAAAGAAATGCAAAAAAGGCTGTGTCGGTAATTTAGAGAATGGACGCTGTTGTTTTCTCAGCATTTTAAACATGTTTATTTTTCTGATTTTGTCGAGTTGTGGGTCTATACGTTACAACATTTCCGTGACACGTCACATCACAGTACTAATGCTCTTCCGCAACTATCGTCGCCCAGTTCATCTGACGACTCGCACACTCAGACTAACACATTCTTCCATGAACCACTACAGGTATGCCTCCCGCTGGATGGGGTGCCGGATAGTCTGCTAATCCGATGATCAGCTCTATTAGTGACCCGTACCAGGCGGGCAGCACCCTCGACATTTTCTTCAGGCCAGAGATCTCTCCTGCTCAAATCAAGAGCCTATTTTCAGTGCAACAGACAGGAATTCAAAGCGAGCTGTCAATCAACTGGCATGACAGCGTTACCCCTCTGACAATCAGGATCCTCCGAGCTTTCACTCCCTTCACCTCGGCGGTGGTGCTTTTGGCCGAAGCTCTCGACTGTCCGGCGCATCTGAAACTCCTCCCCAAACAGTTCATTCTCAAGCTCAGTGATCGTCGTTTCGGTTGCCGGGATCCTGTCCAGCCACAGCTACTCTGGAGACCCGAAATCGAGTTTCCACTCCGCCGAGGAATGCAGCGAATGGTCGGAACGGATCGTTCTCGCCCGATTCCACAGATGTACTACCGCAGAAAGTACTTGCGGCCGGAAGAGGATCCCGAAGGTCCGCTTCCAGAGTGAGACGGCTGGGAACTTGAGTTGTACATTTGGACAGTCAAGCAGTGCTCATATTTGGCGGAAGCCCTGGCATACCGCCATCTGCAGGCCCTCCAGGGAAGCTGTATACCCACTCTCCACGGCACCATCCGTGTCCCCATATCTCCATCCACCGCCTTCGTCCATCCCGTTGTGGACTTCATCCCTGGGCTCGCCCTCGAGTACATTGCCGGCCCGCACATGGGGGAGTTGGAAGTCGGAGTCGATATCACCAAGGGCGACGGGGAGCTTATTTCCCAGCGCCTCATAGACTCCGTGACCCAGATTCGCAACTCTTACTGTCGGCACAATGACATTCACCTTGCGAATGTCGTCCTGCGGAATTGGCCGGAGAACCCCCAGCCCGTTATCATCGACTTCGGCCTGTCCTCGGTCATCCCCCCCGGAACACCCACGGCGAAGTGGGTCAGTAATGTGGATGAAGTGTTGGAAGTGCGTACTGACCCGGAAAATGGCGACTGGCATATCGGCTCTCCTTATCAGCAATGTGTCTATGAAAAACTTGCGCAGCTTCGTGAGTTTTATGCCCGGACCAACAAAGGTCACCGGTGTACACTGGAGGACATCCACTGTCACCGGTAATCATTGCGATATGATGGATATCACAGATAAGATAATGTGGATCAGTGATGCCCACTGTACTGCCACAGTGATCCATCGGCATCCAATGGATATATCAATGCATCCAGTGGATTGCACTGTATGGCGCGAGTCCAGTGAATTCCACTGGATTTTCGCAATTTGAAATTCATAAGCGATCAAACAGAGCATATGGAAACCACATGTACACTGAGATCCGGTGAGACCCACTGATTTCTTCCTCGCTTTTTCCCTTCTACCGTCATGGCACACTCCAATCTGCCCGCAATTGAAGACATCCCTGGCGGCTCAATCTCCAAACTCAAAAAAGACCCTCTTCTCGCTATTCTCACTGAACTGCGTGTCCCCCTTCCCGACAAGAATACGGTGCCGGAGCTGAGGAAGCTGCTCAATGTGGCATTGGCGGATCCCGCTGCTGCCATGGACGAGCGCTTCCAGAAGTTTCTGGTTTATAGGGCAGCTACTTCTCACAAGAAGACTGATGCTCGCACTAGCGCCGACAAGTCCAACGAGGATTGTGCGGACGCTGCGGCTAAAGGAGATGCCGGAGCCTCCGGGTGAGCGGAATTTTATTGTACTTATTACCAATACTGAGCATGCCGTCCAATGCAGTGCAAACAAGACGCTTCTCGACCAGAAGGTGAAGACGGATCCTCCTCCCCAACACAAGCGCTTAGGAGGGACTGCTCCGAAGAAACTCGACGACGGTAATCTCGGCTACCCCTTCCACAAACTTTGACTGATTTATTTTGTAGACGAGGCTAGTACTCTCTCGGATTCGGACCACTCGAGTGAGGACCTTACTCCCGCCACCCCCAAAGACGTTCCTGAGGTCATCGACGCCGACACCGCCGTTCGGAAGATAGCCATCGATGCCGCAGCAATGCCCTGTACGCAATAAGTTATTCTAAGCATACAGTTCCATTAATAACGCCTTGACTTCTAGTGATGGTCAATTTTAAAGGGCCAGACCATCGTGAGGTCTGGATCCCCCCTGCCCAGCGCAGTCAGGTCCCTGTTTTCGAAGCTGCCGATAACTCGGGTGTGTACACAACTTCCCTGAAGACGTTACTGCCCATGGCCATTGCCCAAGAGACCCCGATTAAAAGTAACTGCTTCATCGAAATTGAGATCCTTACTTACTTATTCCCCCAGATAATCGCAAGGGCAAAATCGGCATCCAAGGCATCACCGGCGGTCACCTCGATCTGGGGACCGTTGACCAGCTGCTCAGCGACACCCCGCTACCCGTTCTGGGGCTTGCTGCAGCGGACACCTTCAAGCTCCGAACCACTGACGTTGCACTCATCTGCGACGTCTTTTGGGCCCCTGCTGAGCAAGATACCAAAGTACGCATGCTTATTTTATCGTTATTTTAAGGGATCCTGACCTATCCTGCAACCTCTAACTCAGCGCTCTGGATCCGGAGATGAAGCCGCTCGACGAGGCCCGCGCGAGGGCAGCAGTAGCAGCAGCTGCGGGTCCTTCTTCGGACGGGGCGGATCCTGCCTTCATTGCCTTCTTGCGCCAACATCTTGTTACTGGCGACATCAAGGCCCAGGAATGGCCTCAGCTTTCGACCATCTCCCAAATGAAGGTACGCTGGCAATATCTTGCAAAGGCGATCCAGTTTCTGGAGGGATGGAAGAAGCCACGAGGAGGTTATCGTGTTCCGACCAGCAAGTATCATTTATTCCGTATCACGCCGCTTCTAACAATATCTTTCTTATGTTTAGCCTACACGGCCTACGCCGGCCGCTCCTTTAAAAAGGACGACATAGAACGAGCCCTCCACATCGGCCACAGCATCGCCCACAAGGACAACATGCTTTTTCAGGAGAAGACCGTGCAGCACGATTTAGAGGCCAAGCGCTGGGTCGAAGAGGGAAAACACGCCGATAAGTTCGATAAACTCACCATTTCACAGTGGCAACATTACCTCAGAGAAGCCAAAACCGCGAAGGAGGAGGGAGATAAGCGTCGGGCCAAAGAAGAACAGCGCAAACTCCGCCACCGGGAGAAGCGCACTACGACACGCGCCCCTTCGACCAGTGACTCTGAGGAGGCTGAACGCAAGAGGAAGCGTAAGGCGAAGGGCCGGCGTAGCCCTTCTGCGGGGAGCGAGTCGTCTTTAGCCGATGAGGACGTACCGGCAAAGAAGAAGGGCAAGGCGCGTGCTAGGTCTTCTGATCTCGACGCGGTCTAGTCGCGTTATTTCTATTCACGTCGCACAATATTTTTTAACACCCACTGTCTTTACTTATTACTTGCCTGTTCCCACATACATGTCTTTTGCTTGTCTGTCGTTACTCGTACCCTATATACTTGCCATGTGTCAAGAATGCAGAAAGAAAATTGAAGAGACACGTCGAGTTTTCATCCGCGCGGATGAAAACTCGACGCGGTGTGACTGATGCACGTGTGGTGACAACTTGATGGATTATACCGCAACGGGATTAATCACTCTTGCTTCCTGACATGATCGCCACCCTCGGACGATTCACCGTTGTGCTGCAGCTTTATTTCCTGGAGGAATTTTCCCTTCAGAGAGTTTTTTATATCCTCAGCGTACTTGTGGCGACATACCCTCTATTTCGCCTTCACTTGAATCAGCGCAGGGAGCCACGGCAACCGCGCGAAACAGCCTGGTTACGGAGCATCGCAGACATCTTTGTAGCTGCTTTTGACCAGGCGCATGAACACCCAGACTTCCCACCCAATGACTCTGACATCGGCCCACAGTTGAGTCAGCGGGTGCTGCAGGATCTCGAGCAGTTGTACGGACTTTTAGGGATCCCCGACGAGTCCACACAATTATTTCCGGAACCTCACACAATTTTGTCTACCCACCGCATCGACTGCATTTTCTGTCCCAATGAGGGCCATCCTAGAACCCTTCGGCGTCATCGGAAACCCCAACAAGTGCGTTTGCTCAATAGTAAATTCCATTGGGTCACTGCACAGCTGTTTGTTGCGTACTGCGGCAGATGCAAGGCCGAATTCTACCCGGACCGAATCACATTCCACCTCGACGAGACTTCTGCACGCCGAGTACAACGACCGGAAT